TAAAAGCAGAACCGCAGCTTTTCTCTCTAGAACGTCGTTGTCATTAATTACGGACTGCGCTTGGTAGTGTGTTCAGTTATTTTCAGCTTCTTTTAAAATCTTTCTTTATTTTCTCTTCGTTGAGCAACTCTCATGAAATAAAAATTTTATTGATGGAATTCCAGATTAACACCATCTCGAGACCAGAAAAGCCCGGTAGAGCTGAATTTAACTTCTTGGATAAGTCACAGTAACAGCATTAATCTTTTGAATTCTCTACACCAAAGTTTGCCCCTTCACAATCATACCCGACGAGAAAGAAAAGCTTCCCGGAGCAGATCGAGTGGTAGCACTTGTCAACAGCGATCACACGTTAGGAATGTTTTCGATGGCAGTCCTCTTTCGCGAGTTGCTTACAAACCAATTGAGGGCGCTGTTCGAGTCCCTGGCAAGCGTGAGTAACTGAATTACCATAAAAACAAGCGATGGAGTCGTAGAAGGATTAGCTGTAGTGTATATGGTCGAACTCTCCACCCAGCTTAAGCCAATAGTGCTATGTGCCAACGCGCCATACCTGCCGGTCAAAAATTACATGAGAAATTTTCGAAAACGTTTTGCTATGAAACACATTGTAAGGAAACTTTTTAGCTAAATTTATCAATAAGCAAGGAGAAATTTCTGAAAAAACCTGAATAAAATTATTATTTTACATAAAATTGTCAAAGGGAAACTACAAAAAATGTCTGACGTTGGAATGTCGATAGGAAAATAACAATCAAAGAATGATTTCACTGAAGGCTTTTCATTCATATATAAGAGTCAAAAAAAGCGATGCAATTTTTCTTTCAATGTTGAAATTTCGCCAACTGTTGTGAAGAGCAAATGCCTGACGTGTGCGCGTCTGTCTGACCACAATTGTGTCAAGTGTCCACTTGGTTTTAGCGGCGTGGATCGAAACAAATAATCATCAATTTTCCCTGGGTCATTCCTAGAAACCGTTGAGGGAGGTGGATTGGACAATACTTGACTTATTGGCGTTATACTTTCCATGATCAGTTCTAATTGTCTCCGGAGAAGGTGAATTCGCATTTTCCAAACTTTTCACAAAATGAAAACTCTGAAACTGTCTCGGTGTTGCTATTTTTGAATGCAGATGAAATGTTCCGTTCCGATTCCATTTTGAGCAGACAAGCTAGGGAAAGGAAAGAGGCGGTAGATGATTTCTGGTGTATTGTTTACCAGAAATGTAAAATTTCATTCTGCAAACACATTTGTATTCATTTTACTCTAAATCGGCTCAAAAAACTGCAGATCGATCTTATTCCATGAGGTTATCGATGTTGTCTTTTTTCAGATCACTTGAGCGATCTTCTATAAATATCTTTCACACCGGCCATCACTTACAGGAAAAATAGTTTAGTATCTGTTTTTGCGGGAAATTGCAGGGATATGAGGGATCGAAGTGAAATCCATTAGAAGGCGATCACTCGGTTCACTTGTACATAATTATCTCTACTTAATATTTAAATTCAATTACTTATGGAGTTAACCGGCAAGGGTAACGCTGTGAGGTAGTACTGGTTGTCGTACTGTATGTCAAAGGTTCAAACTCACGTCTGCTACAACCAATTCTTCAATGATTCTTCTCGTCGTCCCGATGATAAAACTAACGCTGGTTTATGCCAGGGAGTCAAACTTTCCCTCGGCTTGCTTGCAAAAACTTTCGATGAAAGGACCATCAACAGTCTTATCAGCAGGTAGTTGCTGTTTATATTTGCTGCCAATCGGGCTTCTTTCTGAGCGCCTAAGCCTCTCACAGTAAATGCTCGCTTTGTGAAACGCAGGCTGGAATGCATCAGGCTCTCCGGCGCGATCATGCGTTTTTGCACTAAACTCACGGATCGCTATTAGCAAGTAAATACTGGAAAGTGAATACTGGATTTCTTACTTTCCAGCGCCCTAGTATGCGCCAGTATCAATTTGCCATCGAAACGAATGAATGAATCGTAGAGGGATTGGTTGTTCCATTGTCGAAGTCGAATCTTCAGTACGACAGCAGCACCACTGACCACTCAATTATGTCCCTCAATGGTTAATTGATTTGAAACAAACTGATTGTCAGAGGCGAAAAAATTGCCGATAAATGTTAATGGAAGGTGCATAAAAGATAAAGGAACGCACCCACTGGGGAGAAAAAACCTCGTTCGTGGAGGTGCAAAAGGCAAAAGTAGTGGAAGAAGTGAAACGAATCATAGTAGGATTAACACTTCACCGTTGCTGCCCCGGCACCGTCCCCATCCAGACCGGTTCCTAATGATACAACGAAACACGAACATCTGCGGTTTTTGTGTTTTGCCTATTTTGTTATTCTCAAACAAAACAGCACTGCAATGAGTTCTGTTCAGCAAACCAAATTCCGTGTTAAAACAAATCCGCACTTTTGCAACTACTGAT